GTCTGGGACAGCCGGCCTCCCCGCCAGCCGAGCAGCCCGCCTTGCAAATGGCAAACAACAATTTCCTCTCCACCTTGTCCCCCGACCACTGCAGACCTCTGGCGGGGGAATGCATGAACAAGCTCAAATGCGGCGCTGCCGAAGCAGAGATAATGAATCTCCCCGAGCGCGTGGGGACTTTTTCCGCTATCCCGGCTTTAGGGGGCATCTCATTACCTCCCGGGGTCATCGTCATGACAGCCCTGCACTCCCCCGCCGCCGCCTCCGCCCCCCTCCGGGGAGCCGCCGGAGGAGGGGGGGCGGCGGCGGGAGGCGGGGGAGGAGGGGCCGCAAACCCTGCCAAGAAGAAGAGGAAAAGGTGCGGGGTCTGCGTGCCCTGCAAGAGGCTCATCAACTGTGGCGTCTGCAGCAGCTGCAGGAACCGCAAAACGGGACACCAGATCTGCAAATTTAGGAAATGTGAGGAGCTAAAGAAAAAACCTGGCACTTCACTAGAGGTCAGAGGAGATGATTTCTTTTTTCCCAGCCTCCAAACCCTGCCAAGAAGAAGAGGAAAAGGTGCGGGGTCTGCGTGCCCTGCAAGAGGCTCATCAACTGTGGCGTCTGCAGCAGCTGCAGGAACCGCAAAACGGGACACCAGATCTGCAAATTTAGGAAATGTGAGGAGCTAAAGAAAAAACCTGGCACTTCACTAGAGGTCAGAGGAGATGATTTCTTTTTTCCCAGCCTCCCTCCGTCCCTCCTCAACCCCCTGCCCCCGCCCCTCCAGTGCTTCTTGTCTAGCTTCAAGATGCAGCAGCCCTTTTCGGAAGCCTCGTGCAGGTTGTAAGGGGGTTCCCGCACACGTGACACTGGCACCTAGTAGGATCCCACCCTGAAAGGAGAGGGTGGGGGATGCTCTTAAATAAAGAGCCGGAAGGAAACGTGGAGGGGGGAGGGGAACTCCCTTTTACAAAATATTTTGGTCCTTGGAAAAAAAAATCACTGTAGTTTCATAGAGTCACAACTAACATCACAGATGACAAATTAAAAGCTTCTATTAGGGGTTTCTTTCACACCTCCAAACAAGCTGGGCACATCAAATTCTATACAATTCTTGGAACAAGCTCTGTGTGTTTATCTGTTATTTTAAAGAGTTCTCTTTGGTGACATGGAACAGATTTTTACTTACATGAAACCAAGGGTGGAGGGCAAACACTTTTAAACCTGAAAGCAAATGGGGTGTTTATTCATTTCTAACTTAATTGTTGCCATTATGAGATCTCTGTGCTTTTTCTACTGTGTTTCTATCTGACTTTTCTATATGACTTTATCTTTGATTTTTGGTGGCGGGGAGGGGAAGGAGATCAGGAGAAGAATGTAGTGGAACACTTTATAGTGGTTAGCAGTTCAGAACAAAGTAATAGCTAGCTAGTTATTTTCAAGGCGACTGATGGCAATTTGATTCAAGAAAGATAGCCACAGAGTTAAATAGTTTGGTGAAATGTGCTACAAATTCTTTTTGGCAATGCATTTTACAAGGTAACCCTCTTACAGTGTATTAAAATGTGATGTAAACCTAATCACAGGTATGACTGAAATTATGTCTGAACTGAACTGTATATACGTTTATTTTTACAATGTGTCCTCAGAACTGACAATGTATTGAATATCACAAAGCTGTAAAGACAGGTTTTCAAGTTTGCTAGACGTACAAAACACAGACAGATATGATGTGGGAATTTCAGTTCATGCACTGAGTACAAGAGACAATGACAAAGATACAAAATATATGTAAAATTAAGTGATATTTTTAGACAAAGGAAAACAAGACAGAAGAAAGACTAGTAATCATATGTAATCCCTTGTCATTATTAAAATTATAGTGTTGCTGGTTAGATGCACATATCAGACACGTCTGAAGGTGTTGGGAGGGGGGAAATGGTAGCTTTAGTACAGAGGAGTACAGTGTAAACTGGGTGACAGATTAAGATTTGCAGTCACAGAACAGAGCAACACAGTGAGAATCTGCAACTTTCCAGTTTATATGTGTTTGTGGTTATTTTCTAAATCATTGGTTGCAGGAGTTTTCTCCAACAAGGTCTGAGATTAAACAAAAACAACCCTTCAGTTTGACAGCAAATAAATGAATACAGCCTTACTGATATTAATATTGCCGTTGACTTGAAGAAATTTTTGTTAAAATTTGGCCATCGTGATTTATTGTACTGAGTCCCATCAAAGTTCATTGCTTCTTGAAAGAGTGAACTATCCATGCTGAAAGTTTGATTATTAGCCTGTTTTCATTACATTTTCTTCAGCTGCTTTTTGTAAGTAATCCAGTAACACAGAAACTCAACAAATTATATGGATTTCTGGCAGGTACTAGATATCAGCTGTTAACTTTTGATTTCACTTACTGTTTTTGGTAAACAATATACTTCTGTTAATTTTTGTAGAAAGTTTTCAAAGAATGTTTATAATTACCCACTCTTCAAATAAACAGATAATGCTGAATTTTAATATTGATACACAATTTAAAGAGAAAAGATTACTTTTTTCCAATGGTACTTGTTCAGCGATGTTGAACTTTGTTATACCGCTTGGGCAAAACGTTCTTTTTCACTAGGCCAACAAACCGAGATGCCTTTGCGATTTATTATTTACGATAAATGATAGAACCTGATGGATTATTGATTTGTTCAGAAAGTGAGATATTTCTAAAGGAGATTAGTGTATATGTTAGCAGACCTTTGTATGAGTTCGTGTGCATTTCTGAACACATTTTTTTGCTCTTGACAAAGGTGTTCCATAGCCTTAAAAATTGTTCAGGCATGGTATGAGAATGCTATCCATTGAAATTATTTAACTGCTATGACTGGTAAAAAACTCATGGTTTTATTAGCCACATGTGTATTTTCATAACCACCTGCCTTCACTACTTTTCTTCATTCTCTCTCTCTCTCTCTCTCTCTCTCTCACACACACACACACACACAAACACACATAGACATACATACACCTCTACTGCTATATTATGACTGGAAGGAAGCAGATTTCTCTCTCCAGCTGTAGAGATATCAGTAGACGTTCATTCTCCGTAGGTCATATCCAGTCACAAAGCATGTCACGGCATGTGACTAATATCCTTACAGGCATGTTATTTGTCAGTAGGAAAGGAAAAGTTCCTAAATTGGATAACTCTCTATTTTTGGTCATTTTTCGTCTTTTTTTCCTCTTCCTTTTTAATTAAATAATAAAGAACAACAGCATGACTGCCTCAAGCACATGTGCAGCAACACTGTTCTAGTTGTAAGGCAACCAGCTGGAAGCATGTCAGAGAGTGACAGGGCCTACATGACTGAACTGAAACAGCAGTAGTGGTTGCAGGTGGGTGAGAATAGTCTGCTTGCTGAACTGGCTTCTCAAGCTAGCTTGTCTTGTGGTCTTTGTAAATCAACAGATCTCCTTAGGTGAAACACTATGGCATGGGCAGACACCTTACTGAGATAATATAACACGAATCAAGGGTTCAAGTTCCATTTTATATAGATATGGAAATTGTGGTTGTCAGTTACATAGAAAATATAAAGGATGTTGTCTACAAAATATGGAAATGACTAAAGATTGAAAGCAAAACTGTGTAAAAAAAGTCAGTAAATTGGTGGAATCCACTGAATTCATTTCTCTTTTTTCCCCTTAAATCTGTTCTTGTCCTGGTGCAATGAAGGCATATGATGTAACTCTCCAGGTTAGTACACTGAGTTTAAGACAGATTCTCATTCATACTTTCAGATTACCTGACCTTTACATTTTTAATTAAATGCTTTATTTCTAGCCTTTTTTTAAATCTGCTTTTATTTTTTCATATTTTACTTATATTCATCTTACTTTAAAAGCAATCCTGTGCTGTAGGTATTTTTAACAGAACTTTATTCTTATTAAGTGATATTATGTATAATATTAATAAATGTATGACAATAAGATTGACATAATGTACCGCTCTGCATACTTGTGTATATATATGCACTGTTTATTTAGATTTACAGTGAATTTAAAGAGGTATAAACATTTTTTATCCAGAGAGATTACTTATTTTCTTCCCAATAGCACACATTTATATAACTCTTACTGTAAGTTGCAAAGACTAATATCCTAATCTTACTTTGCCCCTTTCTCTTTGAAGTCAGTAGGCCTCATTATGATTTCACTAGCTTCAGTTTAATGCTGGTGTAACTCCATTGATTTCAATTGTACCCGTCCTGATATATATCAGCATATCAAAATCAAGCACTAAACTACTCAACTGAGTAAAAGTGGAATTTGAGCCAAACATTAAATACCTTTCATACTTGGGTATAGTATTATAATATTCAGTGTAACTTACTTTATTTATACACAAAATGAATGTTAATTAATTTAAGTATTATTGAAAAAATAAACACATTTTCATTCAAAATAAATTTCTAATATTACAATTTAATATTAAGGGCCTCGTCCTATTCCTTTTGAACTCAGCGGGAGTTTTGAGATTGAATTAATTGGGTAAAGGATTGGGTCAATTGATTTCAATGGAAGCAGCATTTGACCCTGAAAATGTAGCAGCATATGGCATTGCCACTAGGGAAAAGGGGGATCTGTGGGCAACCTCAGCACTTTTGTTCCTTGTTTTGGTGGCAAATGTGAACATTGTTAAAGTAACAATATGGATAGCGGTCAATTAGTGGGGCCTCAGAGGAGGCATTTTTCCCTCATGTCTTTCTAGCTTTAAGTTACATACTGTGGAGGGAACCAATAGTATGAGGGAAAACTGGAAAATTGAGAGGGAACAGGTAGCTAATATGATCAGGGTCAGGAGGAAGCACAAGCTGCTGTCTGTGCTTAGTGATTAGCTCACTGTGTTTTGGTGTCGTGCCCAGCATTAATCATTAATTGTTACTATTATAGTTCTTATTTGTGCTAGCATAGTGCCCAGTTGCCCTAGTCTGGACCAGAACTTTACGATGCTAAAACAAAATGTTCCTTCCCCAAAGAGCTTACAATCTAAGCAACTGCATCAGTCTCTTCCAGGCTCTTTTTCAAGAATTTGGTTGTCAGCCATAAAGCCCTCACCTGTCTTGGGCTAGGTCTACACTAGATCTGGAAGCTTGGCTTAAGGTACACAACTCCAGCTACATAAAATATGTAGAATGCATAGCAGGAGTCGGTTAACTTAAGCTGAGCTTGGTGCTGTCCCCATAGTGGGAGGCCAATGGAAGCAAACACTCTCATCGGCTTCCCTTACTCCTTGCAAGAGCAAGAGTATTGGCTACCAGTGGGGATGCCTTCTGAGTTCGATTTAGCGGGTGTTAACTAGACTTGCCAAATTGAAATCCGGAAACTCAATCGAGGCAGTGTCGATCCTCCGCGGAGTGACGACAAGGTTTTGGCTTTACTTTTTACGGTTTCTTCCTTGTTGTTCAGTTGCATTCGACCACCATGCTCTTGTTTTTCCATCTCCACAATTAATTCTTAGGGGGAGTGGTAGAACATTCCTAATGGAAGGTTCTTGGCTCTTGAATTCACCACTTCTTGCAGTGTGCTAGAATCAGAATCTAGTCATTTTATTTTATTGTTTCTTTGTTTTTTTTAGCAGCATAGCAAGATGCATTTTTCTCTTGTTTTCTGCTGCTGCTTCTTAAATTGAGCATATAGCCAAGGAGGTATTTATCTTGTCAGTGGGTGCAGGAGACAGAGGCAGTTTTGCTGAAATTTTACAATAGCTTATTAAATTAATTTTTGTAGCATTCACCCAGATATTACAATGATGGGTGTGATAGACTGAATTAAATAATTAGTTCTTTTTGGCATCTGAGGTCCCATGATCGAAACAATATGCATCACAATGATGCCTGCTGCAGCTCCATAGTATGATCTGGAAGAGCTGCAGGCATCTTCACTCTGGCTGCTCAAAAATCTCATGGAAGCCATTTGCAGTTCTACACATGGGAGTGGGTCCTGGAAGGTGTGAAATGTCTTCATCTTTCAGTTAAGTCATGGGAGACCAGTAAACTGAGGGCCTTGGAGAAAGCATTCAGCATCTTGTCAGGTCAGGCTTAAAGTCCATTTACTGATCTACAAGGGCTTTTGGATCCTTAGAACAGTGGAGGAATTGGTAGCTTCTTTAAACAGGGATGGTATTTAATCTGTTTATTAAATTTAATATTTTCTTACGGTCTTTATTTAATTTTTAGAACTAAAAGCCAAACAAAAAATAGCGTACTCTTCAACACATTTATAAAATAAAATCCCAATATTTTAGTTCACCTTTCATGAAAGACATTCAAGGGGTACTGTTTATAAAATGCACTAGAATTTTGTGTTGTGTGAGACAGGAAAGAAAGGGTTGAATGCTTTTTAAAATGAAAGAAATCTAGCACCACCAAAACTAGGTAGTAATTTTAAGGAATCAGCTATCCAGCCAAACTTGGTTAAACTATTTTTTTTCTGCAAACTCTATTTTTCACTCAAAAATTATTTGTATTTACTAGTCATTGGTCTAATATTGTTCATCAGTAAAACACTTGAATAATCAGAGATAAATAAGTTATGACAGTTTTTGAATTTCTGTTGCATTTAAAATGTTCTAAACTAAAACACTGATGAGTCAGGATTATGGGTCAGGTTCAGCCCTGACTTATCATCTTGGAAACCCCATTTATTTTAATGAGTCTACACATTGTTTAAATCAAGGAATTTGATTCAGTGATCTTAAGGTATTATACCTTATATAAATACAATGGGTGAAATTTTGGACCCATTGAAGTTAATGGGAGTTTTGCCATTGACTTCAGTGAGGCTACGATTTAATCTAGCATTGTGACTGCATTTTTCCAGTTTTACACTAGTGCAGCTCTCCTGCAATCGGTGCATATTGATTTGGTGGGTTTGAACTGACTGATTCACAATTCATATGGTAAATGAGATCAAATATTTGTCTGACAGAAATAAATGTGAGATGTAACATGTTCAGAAGTGCCTAGGTGATTTAGAAACCAAATCCCCATTTCCTAAAGTGACTCCTAAGTTTGAAAATTGTATCTAGTGGTGTATTTGTCAAATGCTTGGATCATATAAATAATGACATTATCTGGGATTTGACCTGCTTACCAAGTAGTCTCATTTAAACCAATAGGACTACTTGTTTCAGTATGTTACAGTATGGTTTGTTCAGTGTGAGAGTTGCAGAATTAGGGCCTAAATATTTGCATTAATATTAAGTAATTATATTTTATTTTAATCAGCCAAATCCTCAAGTTCCCACTCAGTTTATATTTATTACTTAGTCTTCCAAATCTCTTTCAGAAGTCTGTGGGAGTTTTGCTTTAGGAAGGAATGAGTTAGGACTTCAGCTGTTGGTATACTATGAATAGCAAGCATGTGGTAATGCTTTTGAAATATATATATTTTTAAAAATCTGCCTTGGATAAAAGCCAATTTCTAATTGCTGTACCAAGTAATGTATTTGTTGTATAGTGACCATTAAGATACTGATATTGTAGTAATGCTAGGAACATAGAATTTCAGACCAAACTTAACAAAATACCAGTGAAAGAAAAGTTGGTACTTTGAATGTCTAGGTTGTTAGTTTAAGTTTGATGAGTAAAATATCTCTATGTTGGTAAATCTAGAATTCACATCTTTAAGTCTAATATATTACAGATCTGTTCCATCACTGGTTTGAATTTGAAATGGTCGTTGGATAGGACGTGATGCGAAGGGTTTAAGATGAAATTTTCAAAAGCATCTAAGTGACATAGGCTCCTAATGCCAAAGTCACTTTTTGAAAATGCTGCTAAGTCTCATAAGTGGTTCAATGGGACTTAGGAACTCCATTTTCAATAAAGCCTAAGTCACAAACTTTTGAAAATTTTTCCTATATGCAAAAATTATTTCTGAGGAATAGCATTCTCTGTTGTTGTAACCTAGATGTTTTGGGGGGTGGGGATTCAATTTAGCCTCTTGTTTCCTTAAATCTCTCCTTTGAGTGCTTAACCTTGAACAATAATGTTTTGAAACGCATACAGTTTAATTTGACACTATTCCGCTTTTGTAAACTCAAGCTACAGTGGCTTTTTTTTGATACATTTATATTTTTTGCAGGCATATCTTGTTCCATCACATGCAAACACCTGTCCTAAAATTGAATTATTCTGCAGGGTAATCTAAAGCCTTCCCCTATTCAGCATCATATGTTTTCTGTTGTTTATTGAGTTATGTTGCACCATACTTCAGATGCGACAGCTATTTAATAATGTTGAAGCCTTAGCTCTGCAGGGGCTAAAAAGATCCCAGCAGGCTTGTTAACTTCTACTCTCAAACATTATGTGAAGTATTTTCTCTTCCCAGGAACTCCTAGGTTTCCTCTTAATTTATTTTAAAACTGTAAAATCGATAGTATGTGTTAACCCTACTGGATTTTTGCAGTTCTCTAAAGTTTCACTGTTTCTTAATATTTAACCACGTGCTCAGATACTACAGTGATGAGTGCCATATTATAAAATCCTACAATACTGGACGTCCCCACTATAAGTTGCCCTGATATACATCCATTCCACATTAAAGTTGTTGACGCTTGTAGGAACTGATGCGTTATATAAGTCCTCCCATTCCCTGCTCTTAAGTCATGCAAAAAAAATTGCTCAAATAGAAGTCAGCAGTGGGAAAAAAATTCTCCGCTTTAATTTATTTCACTGTAAGTCCAAGTTTTTT